AATTTTAAACTGGTACTCAGTAAAAAAGGGTGAAATATGCCGCTACTTTCTACCACGATTCTGTAAAAAGTGTGAATTTTAAACTGGAACTCAGTAAAAAAGGGTGAAATATGCCGCTACTTTCTACCACGATTCTGTAAAAAGTGCGAGTTCTGAAACTCAGTAAAAAAGAAATCTGAAAGTAAACGTTTAGACCAACTTAAACATCTTATGCGATACAATTTTCACAACGGGAAACATTAGGCAGGAAAATCAAAATTATAATAAACTGGATGGGTATTCCAAAAAACATAAGAGACCAAATTCATTCAGATTAGTATAAATTTCTTTAAAAAATTGTTAAAAATGTATAGAAATACATCTAAAATTCTTATCTAAGATATGAATCACTTTGGATAAAAATTCAAACCTGTTTTTGTACAACATCTATTCCCTCCAGTGAATTGAAAAACACTCCGGTAGAATTATTAATTTAGATTTAAATTCAATGCTCCCTGATATGAATAGTTTGTACTTAAACTAAAAAACTCCGGTACAATTTATGTTTTGGTAAAAATTCAAAGGCCGTCCAGTAGTCTCCAATTATTAAAGAAAACTTCAGTCTCTTAATCCTTTATGGCATACTTTTAAAGGATTGCATAACTATTTTTAAATACATAAAATAACTTAAAATTTTGCCATTATTCGAAGAGAAAACTTTTAGTCTAAATGTAATTTATTTATATTTAATTTTTATAAATAATTTAAGTTGTTGGAAACATGTTTGGTTTACTCCCTGGAATGGCAATACCAAACAAAGAAGATTTAGGAGCAGGTATGTATCTATGGAGAATACCAGAATATGTTGCAGACTGTAATAATGAGCCATCACATGTCAGGTAAGCCAGCCCCCTTTTTACATTGGGGGTCTTTCATGATCTTGTTCATTTCATTTCATATTAAATGTATTTTTTGATAAAGTGGAAGTAAAGTTTTTATTAAGATTTGCATTTCAATTTAAGAAAAAGTAAAAAAAGTGGATGGAAGGTTCTATTGGTGATAAAAAAAAATTTCTGGGGGGAGGGATAAATAATATTTAGTGCTTGGCTTAATTGATCACTTCATTAAATAATTTAAAAAGTTTAGCTTATTTATTAATTGAAAATTGTCCTATTTTACTCCAGGAATGTAGGACAAGAGCGTCGGCCTCAATTTCGTTAAATGATGGGCTGTCTAGTCAATAATAATAAGCAATTTTAGATCCATAAAAGAGAAGATGAAGGAGCAGGAGATCCCTGCCTGGAAGATGGCCAGGTGGTCCGGGATGCTCGGTAACAAACCAGTTTGTATTGATGAACGTTGTTTGGATTAACTATTTATGACATTGCCATTTAAAACTGAATTTCATACAGAGACTGAAGTTTTCTTTAATAATTGGAGACTACTGGAGAGTACCGGAGGGTTCTAAATTCAGTGGAGAGAAAATTATTTCTACTAGAGAGCTTTTAAATTTTTAACAAAATATAAATTCTACCGGAGGGTTTTCATTCCAATGAAGTAAATGGCATTTTAAAATGGGGAGCATTTGAGTTTTTACAAAGAGCAAAATTCTACTGTTTTTTTTTACTTTATTGGATGGATGTTCTGTGTGTACTTAAAATGTTTGAATTTTTCCACGTTGTGATTTATATTTTACCTGGTTTTCAACTATTGCTTTTCTTAACACTACTGGGTAATGATTCCATTCTTTTTTACTGATATATCTGCAAACCTATATATAATGCACTCTTTAAGATATTAACAATAACAAATTTGCCAATTTTTTTTTTAAGTGGCAAATTTCTAAAAATTACAAAAAAAACTAAATAATTTTGAGGCAACACTTTTTAATTCTGATCGACAAAAACCATCCCTGGGGTCATGTGTAGAGTTACCATAGATAATTTGGGCCAGATTGGTTACGCTGTTTATTGGATATAATCAAACGAATGTTAAAAACCGTTATGTTTTTAATAACCATTTATGTAAAAACAAAGAATAGAAAATAAAGATAACGAACGGAATGTTCACTTCTTAGCTAAGAACAAAGAAACTAAGTTTTTGATACAAACTCAAATTTGCTAATTTCTATATCTTTGCAACCTGACGGTGTTAACCTTGGATATTTA